TTACATAAATTTTCTGTAAACATAGACATACATTAAAAAAAATGTTACAAATATTTTGATTTTTTTTTTGTAAGTTTGTAAGATTGTAGTAAGCTTTAACAATATTACCTAACCTGAACAAATTAAGAAAGAATTTTTATAAAATTTAAGTTATTATTCTAATTAAAATTTTAAAAAATTAAAACAATTCTTGTAAAAATTCATTATTCATTGAAAAACAAACTTTTTCTTAAGGCAATAGTATCAATAATATATCATACTTGTAATAGCATTTAAAAGCTTTTCTAATTAACTGATGATGTTTTTTTTGTTTTTTTTTTATTCAGGGCAGATTTTCAGTAAGTGGGGGTCCTGGATTTACAAAAAAGACAAATTGATGATTTAAATTCTTCAAGGAGTTCTGCATATAACTAATATAAACATTAAGCAGTACAAAAGATGAATTTCTCAAAATTTCATAAATTAAATAAGGGGGGTGTAACAGATGTAAAAGAAAAAAAGAAGTTTTTACCAAAATTTTTATAAAAACAAGAAACATTTCTAAATTAATTTCATTCATCTTTGAATGAAAATTTCATTAAAATCCAACAATTAAGAATTTCCAAATCAATGTTTTTCACTGTAAAAAAGATGCTAAAATTTCCTATACTAATTTATAGTCCCCAGTTGACACAAGTAAAAAGAAATTTTAACCAAAATTTCAAACATTCTCAAAAGGATCAAAAATATAATTTAATAATCAAAAAATTCTTTGGTCTTTCTTCTTAATAAAACAAAGCTTTGGATGATAAAACTGTTTTTTTATTAAGTTTGAGGCATTTTTTTCATCATGTATACTTATTTTTTTTAGCAAATATTTGGAGGAATCTACACAAGAGTGTTATGTTTAAAGGAGAAAAAAATAAAAAATGAACACTTGTATGTAAAATGTGACAAAATAATGTCCATTTATTTCAATAAACCTGTGAATGGAATATTTGTATTTGATGATAGAAAAGCAATGATGCCTAAGAGACAAAGCAGAATAAAGTGGCCATAGAAGTTCTTTTATATTCAAAGGAAAACTATTTATTTTGAAAAGCAAGTCTCAATCAGCTACTGGACAATGGAAAGTAGTGGAAACAAGTTAACTGGAGCAGAGCATGACCTAGGCAAACTGGGTCAAAGGTCAGCTGGTAAGATTGTGGAGATAATGGAGCAGAAGAGAAAGGATTTAGTTTTTGAGCACCACAAGCAATGATTTGTAGGAAAAACAAAAGAAGGAAAATGGACCTAATGAAATAATGAAGAAAATGAAACCAAAAAAGATTTTAGAAAAAGAAAATCATTCTAAAATCAAAGTTTTCAAATTCTTCAATATTTCTATTTTATATTTTCTTTGTTTTTATTATTCAGTATTCTTACAGACCGCAACACTTATGGTCTAGTGAGTTTCAATTCTTATAATCTACTCCTGCAATCATATTGTTTGTATTTTTGTTAGTTCCAAATACACCAATTAACCTTTCTCTTTAGCCTGCTTATTCAGTTCTTGATATTTTTCTATTATTTTGGTTTGCACTCATCTTCACTCAGTGATCCATTTCTTTTCCTTGCTCACAACAAACAAATTTATTGTTTTGTTTTTTTTTTGGAGGGGGGATTAGGCAGGATGAGTACCTTTGGATCTCTTAATACATTTTATTTTCTAAGGCAAGATTGGTTTGTGCTTACACATTTTGATTACATTGTTGAACCCAAGTCATTTGTAGAGTATCATTGATCCTACTCTACCATGATTACTTTTATATTTCTTTTACTTGCCAAATTCACAGATGATGCAGTTTACAATCAGGTCTTTCTTCATAAATATATTTGATGCTTCTTTTGTGTGTGTGTGTGTGTGTGTGTCGGGGGGGGTCCTCAGAAATAATTATGTCAAAGTAAAAATAGATTGTCCTCTTCATCATTGAAAAGACATCATTGCAGTCACCATCATCACTTAAAATCTATTAATTTGTAAATTGAACTACCAAAAGGTTAGTCAGTCATACATGAGATTTTTCCACCTCCTCCACATGTAGAAATAGATTCAGCTGGATGATGTAGTAAGTGAAGAGGTAGTGTAGCCTTGGCAGCCATGGGTGTGGACAGGATTTAAAACTGTTTGATAGCAGAATGATTTTGAGGACCAGAAACATGGAACACTATTTATGAGATGGCAACTGCCATAGATTTTTTTTTTGTTCTCAGGCAAGACTAGAAAGAGACAAACATATGATTTCTGAATGATTTCATCAGAAGTGGACATGAAAACTGAAGGTCATACAAGAAGAGGACTGTTGTCCCCTAACAACAAATGGAAACATTGCATCAAATCCCAATTCAATGCTGCTGGCACTCAACCCATCAAGAGACATATTTTTAAAATATCAAAATTTTAAAATTAAAAAAAAAAAAAAAGAGAGACGTTTAAGAAGTTTATTTACAACATTTAAAAATACAGAATTACAAATTAACAAACATACAAGTAAAACAGCCATTGGAATATTTGGATTTCTTTCAGATATGTGAAAGGCAGCTGAATGAAAATTGTACAATGGAAGTTAAAAAAAAATTCATTTCAAATGTGGCAGTGTTGTGCTGCATGATTCAAGAGTTCTGACCAAATTCAATGTTAGAATTTATTTTTTTTTTTTTTTTTTACACACAATTATAAATTATGCCACAGTCTGTCTGACATGCATAAAATGCATCTCTTTTGCATACAATTCCATTCTTTAAAATCTATAAATACTTTTAAAATGCATACTTTTAATCAATTATTTTATGCACGAATAGATATAGAAAATACACAATAGTTTATTGTCTACAATTAAGTTATACGAATACTGTTATATTTTACAAGTATTAAAATAGTCAAGAGTAAGGAAACCTTAAAATCTTTAAAGTGATTTGAGTGTTCAATGTTAACTCTCTTATAATGATGACCAAAAAGTTACAAAAAATTGTTGGTATCAGCAAGGGAAAGGATTTATTAGTTTTAAGTTTGTAATTTTTTTAGTATAGAAACATTTTTAGTATTCTTCAAAATATGCATAAATAAAAATTATAAAAAAATAATTAGCTATATATACAAAGGTAATTAGATATAATGAAATATCTTTTCTTTTTATAAAGAAATTAGCGCATTTATTGCTATGTTTATATGACCTCACTAGATTCAAATATTTTTAAATTCAGACAAATTTTGTTGTCGTAAGGCATGTTTGGTTGATCAGTTAAAAATGTTATGGACAGACAGACCAACCAAATCAACATAGCCATTTACAGACTAAACGTTTTAAAGTACTTTATTCACAATGGCATTACAACTTGTATATAGAAAGAAGAAAAAATACAGTGGGAAATATCAGTGTTTTATTTCAGTAAAATGTTTTTGGATTTAGTAGTTAACTTTAGACACAAGAGCAGGTATACCACAGCAGTCATCTCATCAGATCATTCATATACTTGAAAAATCTGCATTATTGCAATAGTTTCAGGACCCAGTCTTAAAAGTATTTTTTATTCCATGATTATCAAATAGAATAAATGAACAAAACATATTTACCACTGCAAAAATATATCAAATTTATTCAAAAATTGATTAATTTTTTGAAGATTTAATGGAATCAGTGATATGACTTTAAATGAAATGGCAATGAAGTGATTTTATTATAAAAAGAATTTTGAATAAAATAGATCAATCATTTATGCTAGTTTATAATAGACTTGAAATCAATTATATTCAATATCACCTGCAGTTAGTATTATACTTTAAGAGTTTAACTTGAAGAAAATACTAAAAAATATTTTTTAAAAACTTAAAAAAAAAAAAAAAAAAATTAAACTTTGCTTTAAAGACTAATGCAAATGTCTGACAAGATATATGCAGTAATTTTAATTGATCTTTTGATTAAATTAACTGTATCTCTGGAATTATGTAGTACATAAAGCAATGTATTTTAGATGAAAATGAATATGCAAGTAAAATGACTATACAGTACAAGAAAATCCCTCTTTTCTCAAGATTTTCTGCAGTTATCAATTTTTTTTAGCAAAACCTTAATGGAAACAAACTATTAGGTGTGGAATGAACGTTTCAGTTCTTCAAAATTTCCTGAGAAGTCAAATCATCTGCTCCTCTTCATATAACACAAATTTAAATTACTACTTGATAAATTGTTTACAATGTATATATAAAAAAATAATGTTACTGAATTGTATAAAATCAGACATCAAAAGTAAAATTTAATGACATACATATACCATAAAAATATTAAGGATGTTAAGATGAAAATGAATAGAAAATTGTTTAAATTATAAAAATGTCAGAATTCGTTAATGGAAGAATATATGTTCTATTAAAAATCACAATAAAAAAAAGGACTTTGATAGAGAGTATTCTTGTCTGCAGACAGACATCCAAATGTATTTTCCTTTAATAGTGAAAATTAATGATTTAATGAAATAAGGGAAAATAAAGAATTTCATACACAACATCAGATCAAATATGAATTTATAAAAATGCTTATTTCCCTTGCCATAATTCTTGAACTAGTGGTTATTTTCAGAAAGTCTACAGAGATTCCCCACCCCGTATAAAAAGGCATTCTTTTCAACTAACTGAGTTTCAAACTATATCCTTATTTATTCTGTGAGAAAACAAATGTATCAATCTAAAATAAAATTTTATGTGGACCATGCATTGTTTTCAGAAAGTTTATATTCATCATTAGTTATTTGAGCAAATATCAACCAAAAATCACAAGACAGAATATATCAATAATAAATAAACAGTAACTCAGGGGGGAAGTGTTTACTGATAAAATCTATTTTTAAAAAGCAAAATCCAGTAGATACTACTGGGAAATTGAAGTATCTTGATGAGAAATTTATCATCAAGTTTACCTGCAAATATATAGAATACTGGTTTTCTCACGCATGAGTTGTTTCCCTTGTACACTTACACGATATCTTCATTCAGCTGATTTATTTGAAATCCCTGACCTGAAAACATTAAAAGATCTTCAGTAAATTTTAAAAAAGAAAAAAGAAAAAAAGAAAAAAACGTGAAAAATTAGTTTTAACTATTTAGTATAATTTAAGAGCAGATTATAATGGCCATTGTCTTTGATTTTTGCCTCGTTTTTATTCTCTAATGAATGTGCAGACGGAATTGATTATTAGTTCCTACATTCCAGTCATTTTTCAGAGAGAAATTCAATAAATCTTGAATTTTCGGATGAAAGTGTCAAATAATTTATCTTAAATAAATGTAAAAAAAACAAACCCCAAAAAACGTAAATAAGTTCAAAAAGCATTTTTATTGGATTTAAAAACCTGTAGTCTGCTGCATCCTGCAATTTTTTTTTATTTTAGAAGTACATTTGCCAAATATTTTAAGAAAAAGATATTTTTTTTAATGTTTAAATGGTCACATTTTTCTTCATAACATTTATAAAACCTTTATAAAATTAATATCTAATTGCCTTAATTTTTATCCAAAATTTTGATTCATAAAATAAAACTGAAAATATTTTCATTTTCTTTTAATTAAAGACATTTTTTTTCCAAATAAGCCATTACTTTTGTCAAATTATTTTTTGAAATAGGATATTTTATATATACAAGATGGGCTTACACAGAAAATAATCCAAAAATAATACAAAAGTCCTATATTTATGATGGTGAGTATTCTTTGTTTATAAACAGAAATGCATTACCAGTGATAAGAAGACCATACATGTTAAATAACTATGGCTGGAGATCAACAAATGTGAGCAAATTTAAATACATAAAAGACTGACAGAAATATTGGGTTCAAGAATAGACACATCATTCTACAAAGAATCTTGTGTAAAGCCAATGACACATTTGTGATATTGTATTTCCCATTAAATTTGGTGTTCAAAAACCTCACACTACCAACAATGTTACAAATATATTCATGTATTTGAGAGGTAAAATATTTTCAATTTTATAGCTAATAGAAAACCTTTACTTTCAGTACCCCAAAATGTATTTAAAATATAAATAAACAAAATCAATTTGTAAAACAATTTTACGTAAAAAATAAATAAATAAAATATAGATGTCATCTTTCTAAGCAAAAGATTTAAATTTCAAATTAGGGCTTATAATTCATACCTCTGGATACAAAGAAAATAATTTTTTTTACTGACCTCCCATATTAAATTTCAACAAATTCAAGTTTTCTGGCATTTTTGACAATTATTACTAATATTATATGAAACTATTTTCTTTATCAAGACAAATTTATATGAATTGTTATTAATTACACTGAAAAAATGCATTCTTGCATAGTAGTTTTTGAGCAATTATAAAAGATTTCTTTATAAAATATTTCAGCATAGCTTTTTGTATATTGCATGTTTACAATTTCAAAAAGTGCTCAAGATTGTTTTAGAAATACATTTGCCAAATATATATATATATATATATATATATATATATGTGTGTGTGTGTCAGATAAAGAATAGCCAAATGTCCAAATATTATAAGGAATGAATATATGTATTATATCAAAGAACATATTTAGAATGCCTTTGTTTTTTATCTGACAGTCTATAATTTGCAACACTGAATCCATGCATCACCAATGAATCTGTATATTTACATTGCAGTTGCTCAAGTAGTGTAAGGCAAGGATCTACACTCACGTCCCTAGATTTGATTTGCTTTTCACAATGCTACAAAATTCAAGATCCCCCTGATCTATTGTCTCTCTGTACTCCGTAAGTTCTTTAGAGATCTTAATACGCGTGTAATTTGAAGACAAGATGATCATGAAGTGAATCTGAAAAACAAAAATTTTAAAATAAGTGATCATTCAATCAGATTATGAAACTGAATCAATCCATAAAGAGAATATTTAGATGTTTAGCAAGTTAGAGAATAAATAATAACAAGTATTAATAATTTACAGCAAATTTGATTTTACAATACAAATGGTGAAGTACTTATAAAAATATAGGAATTGTTTTGTATTACAGCATATCAATTTTTTTCCAGGTGACTTAATGTTAAATTATTTCTTTAAGAAAAAGATGTCTCAGTACTTGGTGTTTTGTATTGTGTTGTGATGGTTATGTCTTATAAAATATGATGTTTATTATCATTATTTTATTTTTAATGTGTTTATAAATATTGATTTCAATTAAAAATTATTTAGACTATATTTGGACTATTGTTCTGCATAAAATGGCCTAGAAGATTAAAACATTGATTCGTGAATTTGGTGGCATAATGGTTGTGGAGTTCAATCCCTGGGTCAGGCACTGTACTTGGACTCAGTGGGAATGGGGCAAACAATAACTTAGCAGTACTAAAAATAAGAACTAAAGATATCTCTAGGCACAGAAAGTAAAATGAGAACAGTCTATGCCTATAGATTAAATAAAGGGTTTAGTTCAGAATTCTATGTAGGTTACCAAGATCAATATACATCTGAGGAAAGCCAGAGGGCACAATGGCCTAAACATTGTGATAGCAACAATAATGATGAGTCCAAATATAAATAGCGTAAATACTGATAACTCCTCATCCCAGAAATTCAGACAGAAATTCTAATAAAAAGTTCATATTTGAGACTGGAACCATATTTTAATATTTGTACATTATAATATTTTTTTTACATACACGTACAAAATATATACATTAATTAAGACTCTAATAGTGATCTATTGATTACCTGAGATACCATAAGAACTAGTGTCAGCCTTGAGTAGTTATGGATTGGTAGTGTGTGTGTGTGTGTGGGGTGGGGGCAAATCAAATCTGAATCAATACAGCCTCAACTCTTTGTTTGGTTAACATATTTGTATCTTCAATTCCTGCTGTTGATTAGTGTGCATATAACTTATTTTCAGCAAACATGTCCTATATTGTCTACCATTGATTTCTAATATAATCTCTGATGCAAAAAATCTATGACAGCCATAAAAGATGAACTGCTACATGGTTATCAAAATACAGAAAAGGACATTTGGTACTATATTAGTCAAATGACAAAGAATGGGAGTTACTCAGAAAACAATGAAGATATATGACATTTTTTAATCAATGCAGCACTGCAAACTATTTTGCATCATACAATTCCAAAATAACCTTTTCTGTAATTATTATATTTTTCAATTCTAATAAACCTCACAAAACCTAAAGCAATTTTTAAATATCAATAAATAATAATTTATTATAATGTTCATAAATTGATTTTATAAATCCCAAGAGGTTACTGTCAACACTACATAAATAATTAACATTTTACAAATACAGGGTGCGATAGATAAATTGTCGTCTAAATTATGAAAAAAATTGAAGATAACACTGACAATCTCATTTTAACAGATATATTTACCAAAATTACAAATACTAAAGAGTAAACTTAATAAAATCACGATTGGCTTCAGCCACGGCCTCCAGATGACTTTAGAATATCCTGCAACTCTTCTGAACAGTCTCCTTGCTTAAGTTGGTGAATACTACCATAATACTTGCCTTCATTTCAAAGAGTTTTGTTGGTGTTGTGAAGTCGAAATATAGCACTAGTCAGTCGCTAAGCTTGTCTTCCTTTTTCACGTTATTCTCAGTGACCAGTTACCAGTGACTTATGCAAATTAGGCATATTAATTTGCCAGTATCACTACATCTCCCTGAAACGTATAGGTTTTATACCTCTAGTAGTTCTTGTATTTCTTCTCATGATAGTTTCACTACTTTGCTCTACTTCTCTCTCTCTCTCCCATATTTCTTTTTCTGGGAGACCTAGATCTATCCCGCGCTACACTGTAATCGTAGGCATCTTCTTGCATTATTTGATCTTCGTCCAAACTTTCAAACTCATTCTGTCCCACTTGATCCTGCATTATTTCGTCTTCTGATGTATCATTCTGTAATGGTTGTTCTAATAAATCATTAATGGACGGAATTGTAGACATTTCTTCATCATTTTGCTCTTCATATTCACCCTGGGTCCTTATTTGATCTGCATGGGCTAATACATTGTTGCCATTTTCTCTATTTATTATATTGTATTGTGGCCTTTTTGCATGATAAATTCTGCCCTTTCCGGATTTGCTTCTTTGTTCTTTTTGTACCACATTTTTTCATTTGTGGAATACGACATCGTTAGCGGAGCTCTAATTTGTCTTCCCATTAAAGCTGATGGGCTTTCCAGTCTTCCAGCGTGTGGTATTGTGCAATAGCTTAAAAGCAGCCTCGGTAGAAAAACTTCTACTTTTTCTTTTTGCTGGGAGCATGCTTTTAGTCCTGTTTTTATGGTCTGCACCAATCTTTCCGCTAACTCATTTGACTGAGGGTGATATGGGGGTGTCTTATACGGTTTACATCCTATTTTTTCTAACCATAAATTAAGATCTTCATCGCAAAATTCTGGTGCATTGTCAGATACAAGGGTTTTTGATATGCTGTTTCTGGAAAATATGACCCTTAGAATCTGTTTTATCGTAGAACTTTTCTTGTCTGGCACCCGGATTATTTCAGACCATCCTGAAAAAGAGTCTACTAGAATTAATAAGAGTCCCACTCCAGTAATATACGCATGATCCATATTGTTATAAAATAAAATAAGACATATCACGGCTGATTTGCAGGCAAATAAACTAACATACTCAAGAGCGAGAGCCGGATGTGAATGGGACAAGGCCCCATCACAAAATGACCATTATCTTCATTTACGCATGTTCCCGACGCACAAGTTCCGGTCGAAAAATAAAATAATATTTTAAAGTGTTTCTATTTTTTGACCAATAAAAATGCTTCCCTCCTAATTATACTCATTGAAATAAATCATGTAAATCTATTTCTGCTGTTGTCATATTTCTTTCTTGCAACCATACGCTTGTCTATAACACTGGTGTCAGAAGCATATAGCAAGAGAAATATGGCTGACTACACGAGCTTCACCAGAGTCAAACTATTTACTCTCATCAAGGAACAGAAAACACTACTATTCAACTTGAAAACCAAAATGGGACCAACACAGCCTTCCAAAGCCACGATACAAGAAATTCAAGCCAACATAAACGACATGCTGACTGCCCTAAAATCAACTACTTTAACACCTCCCACCGCTCAAACAAACGGCGATTACAGCTTAATGATGCACCAACAAACTACACATGACATATTGAAGCTAGAGAGAACTTTTCACCCTGGACACGACATGAACCGATTCATCACAGCTCTAAACAAAGCATACACAATCAATGTCACGCCAGAACTCAGCACCTATCCCAGCCTGGAATGCGAATTCGTCAAGTTTGCTAAAGATTTATTGGACCAAAGTATCTTTCAGCAGATGGTTGACTCAAAAAAAGACATATCCACCTTCGAACAACTGAAGAAATATTTATTAGGAGCGCACAAAAGCCAGATGACTAACTTCCAACACCTCAGTCAAGCCTGGGATGTGGAACTGCGAGACGGCAAAAAATTAACAGACTTCGCGGGTTGACTCGAAAACACCCTTAGAGAGGCAGCCGTCCACATAAAAAACAAATACAAAAAAGACAAAAATACAGACTTAACAGTCGATGGACTTATTTCCATCATCAGTGCTATGCTAATGAGCGAAAAGGTGAAAATTTGGAACTCAAATCTTTACACGACTTCGCACGACACAGTGTATTTCACACAGAAACCACAACAGTCAAACCAAAGAAACGCGCCACTCCGACCCAGCAGGCAACCAAACCCACAGCAGACAGGCCTCACCAACCCTCCCGAACATGGCCACCATCCGACACGCAGAAACCATCAGCACACACCACGAATCAGTGTGTGTGCAAGAACTACCTCAGAGGTCGCCCCTGCCTCCATGGATGCAACTGCCTATATCGCCACCCACCTCGCACTTGGGCACAGGCCCATATCGATATTATCCTACTTAGTACTGGATCATGTCTAGTTTCCGCAGCCATTCTATCTAAAGACAACACATCCGTCTCTACCCAATGTAAGCATGCATCTTCAAATTCTTCTTCTGTTTTGTCTTTTGACTCCTTGTAAAATCGCAATCTTCATAGTGCATCTGCATGTGGAATTGAATTTCCTTTGACATATTCTATATCAAAGTCAAATGCCATCAATCTTATTGCCCATCTTAGTATCCTCGATGTCGTGACTTTGGGTAATTCTTTCCTTGGGTTAAATATAAACTCTAGTGGTCTATAATCACTTCCTAACAGAAATTTTTTCCCAATTAAAAATTGTTGGGCTCTAGTAGTTGTCCACACAATAGCCAACGCTTCCTTCTCTATATTTGAATAATTAAATTTGGTGTTCATTAGTCTTCTTGATAAATACATTATCGGATGTCCTTCTTGTGATAATATTCCCGATATCGAATGTTCACTTGCATCTGTAGTTAACGTAATGTCCTTTTTTGGATCAAATATTTTCACTACTGGCTTCTTTACCATAATTACTTTTAATCTATCAAAAGCTTTTTGTTGTTCATCTGACCACATAAATGCAACATTCTTCTTTCTTAAATTTGCAAACAGTTCAGTCAAGTCCGTGTATTTTGGTAAATATCACCTGTAAAAATTCACCAATCCCAAAAAAGACCAGTTCTTTTTTATTTGTAGGTGTAGCTACTTTTAGTATTTTTTCTATCAAGGCCTGGTCTGGTGATATACATTCTTTTGAAATGGAATAACCTAAAAAAGATATTTTTTGTTAGAATTGCTTATGCATTTTTTCTCGTTTATTGTCATTCCAGCATTTCTTAATCTATTCAAGATTATGTCAGTTTTCTTTTTTAATTCATTTTCA